TCGTAGGCGAATCTGGTTCAGTTACACCGTCGGGAAATATAAAGCTAATCGTTACTATGGTGGCACGACCATTATTTATTGCTAGGCCTGTCCAATAGATGCCACTTGGGAAAGCCTTGTCACAGCCACATGGAGCTTACTAATTTATAAGTCTCGCGCTGTCTATATATATTGTGTTTAGAAACACATTCGATCGGAATGTCGTGATATCCTGCAACTTGACACGCTTTTGTTAAGGCTCGGATTCGGAGTTAATGACTATACAGAGTGAGCCAAATTCGACACTTTTAAATGGAAACTCCCCTTTAATTAGCAGGTATGTTCATTTTAAAAAAATTATATATAAACTTTTTTTATGGAAATTTTTTTATTTCCATGGAAATATTTCCAAAGCAAAAACAAAATTTATTGTATCGGTCCAACCTGTATAATCGCTAAGTTAACTACTTAGATAGTACCTAATTGTTTGTAGTTTGCTGTTGCGCTGCTCCCAGATTGATCAAACTATTTAAAAACAACCTTTTTGTGCAGTCTAAACTGGTATAACACTTCAAGATTACACTGTTTGTCATACATTTAAACGCCTTACTCATATACATGGAGGTAGCTTAATTTTGAATAATTAATTTGCGCATTGAGTTATAAGAGCACATTGTGTATTATTTTCTTGTACACACACAACTTGAGGAATTTTTACAATTTTCCGCCATAAAATATATATAAAATTTATTCGATTTGTTTGGTTTGACTTCCCTAGTAGATTCCCCCAGATGAATACAGAGTAATAGTACTGGACGGATAAGTACAACAACAATTGATTGATTGTCACAAAGACTATAATCTAAAGCAAATTAACTTCGGGTTGTCTGATCATTTAGTTCAAATATTAACCGTTAAATACTATCTCCATCATACAACCTCTAATACAATAAAGTATCGTGAACAAAGGTTTGTTTCAGACAACAGCACTGCAGCAAAAGAGGCTGTTTAGATTAATTTTAAAACTTGCTCTGAAACAATCCTGTTAACAGATATTTAAGCAGCATAAAAGATCAATCATATGCTTTATAAAAGGTTGTTTAATTAAGCAAGACTATACTATTACAATTTCCCCCGTGCCTTAAAAATCTATCAATAAGGCAATTTAAAAAACACGTCAAGAGGCTCCTGTCGGCCAATGCTTTCTACAGCCTGAAAGAATTTCAAATATATTGGAGAGCATTTAAATGATTTATGTTTTCTTCTCAAAAAGAATGTGCTTGTTTTTTGTGTCAATACTCGTCTTATACATTTGTTATAGTTTATGTGTACATTGTTTGATTATGTACATAAGTTGGAATTTGTTATTTGGCTTTGTGAATAAATTATTTATCTATTTAAATGTAACTGTAATGAATAAGCTAGAAGCAAAATAAAAAAATGATTGTCCATTATAGGTCGATCCGGTTAGATTTCAAAAATGGTAGAGAAGAACCCCCTACCTAATTATCAATTGCAACGTTTTAACCAATGTACACTTTTGGCTTAAATGTTTTTGTTTATCAGATCACAATAACGATAACAGTGCCTTGAAAGCATCTGATTTAATGTGCCAATATTATTACGTTGTTGAACGATTTGGAGGCTAACAACCTCCGGGCAGGAGTCGGTAAACCATTGCATAATGAATGGATAAGCATTTGATTGACCTAATTGCTTTCGCAAGTGGATCAGGGGATGGGTTTCTAATATCAGAGTACATTAATTCAGTCCCCAAGTAACAATAAATTTAGCTAAGAACTTTGTGCACCAAACCAAATTTTATTTAATACCCAACTTTTACAAGATGGTAAAACATATAACGATTTGCTAATGAATTGTTAATATTTTTGGTTGTGTTTGGGCGCGAAAAAACTATTCTCTACTCGCTTCGTTTCCGTTATTTTGGGGCAGAAATTTTGGACTGACCTAATGTTTTTGGTGGATTTTAGCCATGAATGATGTTTGACGTTTATCAGTTCTGATGGTCATGTCACACGTCACTCAGTGCATGTATTCAAGGTGTTTTACAAAAGTGTACACAAAAACTATTGGTAGTAGAAATGTATGTAACACTTTGATAAGCATCGTGGCTAAAGTGTCGTTTATCAAAGTAATAGCAATATTTGCACTACATAATGATTTAAAAGATCATGTGATATTCAATTCAAATACCCAAAACTTGTACTTTTCAATAAATGACAGCTAAAACCTTAAAATGAGTGTTCTATGAAACTATTTATTGAACAGTAAGCTACTTTCGAGGTCCTTGATATTGCAATCGAAGTCGAGGAATCAATCAGCTAACAATTACGTGTAGATTACATAAATGGATAAATTAATATTTCTTTAATTAATAACTTCTGATGGACACAAAAAAATAAGAATGGAAGGAGGACATTAATATTTATTCTTATAATTATAGTGGTATTAAAACGGCATATCATATATTATTACATGGAAGTCCACGTAGGCCACCTCAATCGCAGAATATAAACCTGATTGCCAGTAATTTTCTATGATATTTTTTTAACCATTTTAAATCGGTTGTTAACAATCGTTCTTTCAGATTTCACAACGTTGAGCCTGTAAAAATATTTGTAGGCACTCACATACCCTCTGTTAATTCTCCAGAATGTTTAACAGGATTCGTCCTGTATATGAAAATCCATTAAGAATTCCAGAACCACAACCGCAGCCTACTCTAACATCTTCATTATTTTTATGAACGATAAATGTACATCGTCAACTCGATTCCCCCGCAGGCAATAAAAATAACAGTAAATTTTATTATCCCTTAATATAATTACCAGCATTATTGAAAACCGCTTTCGCACATTTTTATCCCCATATTTCACAACCGGAATCGTCTTATTTTACGGCACGCCGCGGAGCCGAGAATTAATTCCATTAATGGATAAAACACTCCGCCATGCCATAACTAACCAACTTTAATTAACACAGAACACTATCAGTAAGCGCACACACTCCCCGGTCCCCCGTGCCCCGGACGCGACCCACGTTGTCCTTTGCTATTTCACACCCGAATACAAAGACAAACAACCATAAATCTGAAAGAATTTAAATTAGCAAACTGTAATGTGGGGGTATAAAAGAGATTAAAAACATCCCGGTAGTTTGTGATCGTTTATCACTGCGTTGCGGTCCGTGGCGTAGAAAAAATTAAATTGCTCATCTATAAAGTTTCCGTGTGCAGGTATATCCCTGAAGATAAGTGGAAATTGGTTCTGCTCGCAAATATAGTTTTAAGATTGCACACGATCGTTGGAAATATTGATTAGTTTTTAATTAAAAATTATTTTCGTTATCATTCTAGTGTTTTTCCAAGGCAATGGCACCTAAATCTTATTCTTCCCAGCCACGTAAAAGGGAGGTTGATCTTTTGGTCTGAAAAGCTAATTCAATTCACTCTATTCTTTATGAGGAAGTGCAATTTTATTCCTATAACAGCGTCTACATAATATTGTTTTTAAATCAATTAAAACCGTCACTCAAAATAACAAAGTTATTTACACACTACCGTTCACGACACACACTATTAATCATTTTTATAACATATCTGTTTATTTGTATTTATATTTCCGCCCAACACAGTTTCTCTTGTCTACTATCAGCAACGAGCGTCGCTTTGGTTTTATAGAACGCAGCGCCTGCTCGCGAAAGGGGTCTAACATTCGAGCAGCTTTCCGAGAAGCGGCGTCTATGATCACGCTTGAAATTCTGCGTACGCCCAAATTTGGAACGCAGACAGGGCTAGCTCGTCAAAATGTAGACGGAAACAAAAGCCAAAGCAAAAAGTTAATAATAATAATAATAACAATAATAATGGTGAATCACTATCAAAATTACTTGACAACTTTAAACAAACGGTTAGAGCAACCAGGCTAAAATTAAAGAACTACAGAGAAAGATCACGCAGGTACCAGGAAAATAAAACGTTCTCCGAAAACCAACAGTTGTTTTATAGGAAATTAGACGGCCTAAAAAGTGCCCAATCAGGGCCAACCAGGGAGGACATGACGCAGTTCTGGGCTGAAAGATTTCCAAATATCGGGGGAGGATGTGAGCAATCTGGTGGCGAGCCTTAGCGATTGGAAGGCTCCAGGAAAAGACAGAGTACATGCCTTCAGGTGGAAAAACCTTCTCCTCTACTCACACAAATGTAGCAGAGTGCTTTAATCAGTTATTGCAAAACCCTCAGAGAGCACCAGAATTTTTGACGAAGGGAGTAGCTTATATGCACTTATATGCAAAGCACGTCAGGATTAAAACGCGCAATTTAACGATGGTGTGGATCGATTAAAAAAAGTCATAGAATTGTAAAAAATCAGCTAAAAACGCGCGAACCGCTGACCAGTCTGGTGTCAAATTGGAGGACAACGATCAATGTGCGAGGCCAACAAACATACACCACCAAGCAGATGTATATAAAACGAGGCATTTTTCAGGGAGTTAGCCATTTCCGCTGTGGTTCTGTTTGGCACTGAACCCACTGAGTAAGATGCTCAATTCAGGATGCAACAATGTTACTGTCTCCAGCGAAATCTATATCAATAACAGTTCTACGAAGATGAATTAAAGCTGTATGGCATGTGACGGAAGGCTAAATTTCGGAATGGAGAAATGCGCATGCCTGCACTTGCGACGGGGAAAGCCAAAAAACGAGAGGCCGATAACCCTAATCAGCGATACGAAAATTCAGAATCTGCAGCCAGGAGAATATTACAAGTATGTCCACACCAAATCTTTTATTAAACACGTCCACAAAAGAAAATGTAGCCAATCAGGACTGCCGTCGATGTGAAAGAGACGTAGAAGCCATCCAGCATATCACTGCCGGGTGGCCAACCCTCGCGCCGTGGGATCATCTAGACAGACATGACATGGTCGCAAAGGTCACCAGGGAGTGAGTAGAAATCTCAAAACTGTTAGCGTAACAAAGCCTACGCATCCATACTCACCCGCTTGGAAGCATGAAACTGCCTCTGGAACCGTGTATTGGGACACACCAATACAAATGGCAAAAACCATAGCCCCCAACAGACCGGACATTGTTATTATCAACAAAGCACAATGTATTGTATAGACGCGATACGGAACGTGGTGGACGCCTTCGACAGAGCGCAGACAAAGCCCCGCAAAGACAGGCCAATAGTGCTCTTGGCAACACTCGACGTACGAAACGCCTTCAATTCGGTGAGGTGGAAGGACATCGTGGGGGAGCTAACAACTACCTTCAGGTTGCCTCCATACCTCCGCCGCATTATGAAGGACTACATGCGTACACTTACGTACCAAACGGAGACAGGCACAAGGACGAGACAGCTTACGGCTGGAATGGCGCAGGGTTCGATCTTGGGCCCGGACTTGTAGAATATTGACTACGACGGAATCCTGAGAATCCCGATGGCACCGGGAGTCCACCTAGTAGCATACGCGGACGATGTCGTCATCGTGATAGTTGCACGGGACGGTCGTTGGGCGCAGCTCCGGCTGAATCGAGCTCTAGGACAGATTACAGACTGGTTACGGGGACGAGGGCTAAACCTAGCTATACAGAAGACCGAACTGACGTACCTGACACGAAAGCACATTGACAGGAATGTGCAAATAACAGTAGGCGGGACCCAGATGGCGACCAGAGGCGAGATCAGGTATCTCGGTGTTTACCTGGATACGAGGCTGACGTTCTGGTCGCACATCAGGCGCGCCGTAGACAAGGCAGCTTCAAAAACTGCAGCACTCAGTCGCCTTATGGCAAACACGAGAGGACCAAAACAGAAGACGCGAAAACTACTGATGACAGTAACCCACTCGATTCTCCTGTACGGAGCCGAGATATGGGGAGGCGCGATGGAAGTAAAGAAATACCGACAGGCCATGCTGTCGGTGCAAAGACGGGGGGCTCTTCGTATCGCGTGCGCGTACCGAACAGTCCCCGAATCGGCGGTGTTAGTTATTGCCGCTGTGATTCCCATAGACCTCTGAGCTCTTGAGCGAAAGAGTGTCTACGAGCGTAGTATGAAACTGGACAGGGCAAGGGCGTCCAAAGAAGCACGCAACGTGACGATGGACGACTGGCAGACTCAATGGACTAACGGCACGGACTCCACTTGGACGAGGAGACTAATCAGGGACGTGCGACGGTGGAAGGAGAGGGACGGGGGTGAGGTGAATTTTTACCCCACTCAGTTCCACTCCGGGCAAGGATACTTCCGGCATTACATCTGCCGCATGGGTAAGGCAACGAGCCCATGCTGTAAGTACTGCGGAGAAACTGACAACGCGGAACATACGTTCTTCGACTGCTCAGACTCGAGACGTTAACTGGACCGATTACGCTAGACAACGTGTTTGACCTGATGACGTCGACAACGGAAAACTGGGACCTTGTGGACAAGTTCATAAGGGACATACTATTAAGAAAGAAGGCAGATGGCTGCCTAGAGGACTAACGAGACAACACGTGACGTGTTGACTGATACTGCGCGGAGGAATATATAGGAACGACAGATACGAACGCCACGTGGCACAGACACGCCCCCTAGCTGGAAGTAATGTGAACAACAGTTCCCAGCTAGGTGGTGAAGACGGGTTTGCTGGGTTTAGCCGGTAAGAATCCGGCACTCCCGACGGGTGCGCATCCCCGTCGGGGTCTTCCCATTATGTGGAACAATCAGCACGCTAGAGCTGGTGTTTGGCTGATGTAAGATTCCCAGCGTTATCCCTCGGAAAAAAAAATAATAATAATGCGGCACCACGGGACATTGTACAGAGAATTATGACGAGTGGTGCGCTGATGAATATCAGATCCCTTGACAAGTCTCTAAAAAAGATACTTTGGCTATTCGGACTGCCGCAATTTTAAAGATTAATATACATAAGTGGAGAAACAATCTTTGCTCTAAGTTAAGTCATCCGGATTCGCAATATAAGGTGAATTGTGTGAATGAAATTTCCTAATATTATAACAAAACCTTAGACAACTGTTGTGCAGCCTGTGTAGTATTTTCTGATCTTTGTTGAAGAGGGCAGGTCAGTATACCACATTACAGTAAGATAAAAGGGAAAAAATAAGAGACTCACATAACCTTAGTTTGATGTGTGTATTTAAAATATCTTTGAATATATAGGGAGTTCTTAGTTTCCCATAACTTCTCTGAAGTATATAAGACATGTGCGATTCGAAAATAAGATTGCTATTAAAAAACATACCTAAATTTTACGACAACCTTAAAATCAATATTCTTGAGCAAGTTTAAGTTTTTTCCAAAAAATAATATCTAGATTTTCGTTTCATTTATGAGAATAGATAGCGATAGATAGATATTTTAAATGGTCAGTAGCATCCGCGATGTAGACAGAAAACAATAAGGGGCTCAATACACTACCCTGCGGAACCTCCCGTGCAACATTAGAAAAGGAAGAAAATGAATCGCATTATGATACTCTCTGACTTGGTTCATTCAAATAGCTGTGAACGAGACGAACCTCGTGATACAGGGATAAGATATAGGAATAAATTATCGATTCCACCCATCAAAGCGTTCGCTTTCTTATAACACAGCATTTTATTATAATGTTTTTCCAGTTGACTTAATAAACTTAAGTATGGAAAATTTTATTAAGTTCTATACAACAAACTATCACTTTTCTTGATAAGTGAATCAGGGTATCAAAGGCCTTGCTGTAGTCTGGAAGTATAAGGCAAGATTCCTTTTCCTTCATCGCTACTGTTAAAAATATCATCGCTTACCTTTAAAAGACGGTAGCTGTACTATGCATTCCACGAAATCCAGACTGTGTTGAAGGGGCAATTTCTAACTGCAAGAAATATTCATTAAGCTGTTCATACATTAACTTTTCATATAATTTATCCTTTTTATATCAAACCCATCACTACCCCTTGCATTTGACTTTGTCTGTCTTATGGATCTATCGACCCTCATGTCGTAAAGCCGACAAAAGACAAACTTCTTCAAGTAACCATGAAAATTGAAGTAGCATACTTGTGCAATGGCAACATCCGAAATACTTTCATTTAAGTGATTATTAAAAACGTTAGCATTGCCTACTTTTTCAGGTTAACTATTAGGAGAACTATCGACATTAAGCAATTTTAAATTGCGCCAAAATCTACTTTAATCGATTTTAAACTGATACGTTTTCTTTTAATATCAACTTTACACAAATATCCACTCCGTCTCTAGTTGCATGACGATTGAGTTTTATATTTGCTCTGTGTGGTTAATGTCGATGTTACTTGATAAAGTATACAGCGTGTCCTAGTAAGAAAAAGAAAATAATAAGTTGATAGGCAGAGACAAAATGCTGTAAATTATTTTCGAGTTTCTAAAAATGTATTTGTTTTCCTCACTTTTAAAACTCGGTTTCTAACGTAACCATAATTGCCCTATTTTTGTAATAAACTTGCAGTTGCTAAAAAGGGCTATAAATCGTGAATGACGCGATTGTCATTGCTCACGTTGCCACCAAGAATAAATGCAGCGATATGAGTTTTTTTTATATCATTAGACCGTGAAATAGGGACCCAACAACCCAATGAACCTAAAATATGAACAAACAAATTTTTAGTAACTATCATCACTCTTTCTTCCATTAATAATTAGTTTTGCCAACTAACCAGAACTAATCAATTGTAACTACTTTTATTCACAACATCAATGAAATAGTGCAGGTACCAAACATTACGCATGCAGAGGTGGAAGAAGCAATATCACATTTGAAAGAAAGAAAGAAAGTCTCACAGATGGCACCAAAATCTTAATGGAAATCAGTGGTCGAAAGGCCAATCTTTGGGACCTCTATATTTATACCACTTCATTATTAAGAAACTATCTAGATCGACTGATCCCTCAAGAAGAAGAAGGTTTTGTGAAGGATAAAGGCACCAAAGAACGGACCCTTAATATAGAGAAATGCAGAGAATTTAATATTCCAATGGAAGAGCGTAAAGACATATTTGCATTCATAAGAAATCTGTAGAATATGGCCAAGGTCATAATAGAAAACTAGCATTCGCTCCCATTCAAGTCTAGCAGGGGTGTTCGCCAGTATGCATCCTGATCTTTTCAACATCTATGGGGACAACATATTGAGAAAGGCATTAGACAAATGAGATATGTAGATGATACAAAGTTAGTAGCTGCATCAGAGGAGGAAATGCTTGATTTTCTTAACTGAATGGAGACAGAAAGCAATAAATGTGACTTTATGGGAAATGCTGATAAAACCAAAATCTGCAATTGACAGATGCGCTGCAAAGGTATCAAGTCGTTGATCATTTCATTTAGCTTGGCTCATATATTACCGAGTATATTATTACCACGGGTTCAAGTGAGAGTGACATCCGAAGAATAATAGAAATGCACTGAAGTGCAATGAGTCGACTACCCATGATCTGGAACGACAGATTAATTATGAAAAACACTAAAATGAAACCAGTTCAATTTTTGATTTTCTCATCTTAAGATATATGGCTGAACGGTGCGCGATTAAAGCAGTAGACAGAAAAAGAATTGATTCTTTGGAGATGTGATGCTGGAGGCGAATGCTTCGAATTACATGGACGGCTCGCATGTCGAACGAGTCCTCTTCGTTGCGAGAATAATGGAATTTTTCGTACACATCGCGCGTAGACAAGGTAACAACTTTTCGGGAGTAGCAGGCGCTCACCATCCCGATGGACTAATCAGATGTAAACGGCCACCGGCACTTCATTCTACAATTTTGTAAATATAGCCCAGGATCGAAGTTATTGGAGAGAAATAACGGCGCAAGTTGTCAGTGATCACGATTCAAGAATGACGGAATTATTCATGTGGAAACATGTGTAATGAAATAATCACAATTTTATTTCGTTTCTAACGCGTTAATTTGTTGTACGCCCTGGATTATGTTAAATAAAAAAATGGTAGGCAACAAAAAACTTTACAAGCATCAAATAAAATCCATAAATATCTATCTATTTATCTAATGACCTGGCCGTATTCAATAACCATCATGGTTGCTCACAGATCGTCAATAAATTTGGATACGGCGTTTTTGCGTTTGTAGCAGGAGTAACAATGGTGAACATTGGAAGTTTTTATAAAAATGGAGTTCGAAAATTGAAGATTCACAATTTAGAAACTCGAAAATAATTTCCAGGGTCATACGTTTCCCTAATAGGGTACCTGGCCTCCCGTACTGGGACACCCCGAACAGTCCTATCTAATGTTATCCTATAACATATCACAAATTATAAAATGGAAAAATACCTTAAGGGTCGCTTAATGTTAAACTAAAATTTTGTTTTCCCTAGTGTAGACGGTTGTTTGAGTTATCTTCCCTTAGCATATTTAATTTATGCAAAAACTTGCTTTCGCTAACTAGCCGTTACCGTGCGTTATATAAATAAACACCATATAATTCTATCAAGTTAATATCCAAAGCGAATATTAAGGTCCTAAACTTAATAACCCCCGGATAATGCAGAGTTTGAGGATGAACATAAACAATTTATCCAAATTAAACTCAAAGGGAATTAAAATAGTTCGCTTCGTAATTAATCCGTTATAAACAAAATATTAATGATTCATCCCAATTTGGAATTCCGAATTGTAGTTTTTCGAATAATAATTAATTTTTAAAATTAAAGCTTTTTATTGTTAGTATTTCGCTTCCACTTCAATTATGAATATGTGAAGAAATGTATCTTCATTGACTAAAGAAAATCACTGGCTCAACGAATTCAAATGAGATACTAGGAGGTAATATATACCAGTTCGTGGAATGGAATATTTCTTAATAGGATCCAAAAGGGGAAGACACTGTCATATCCAACACACAGCGTAATAAACCCTAAAATCAGCTGCGCAAGCTACGGAGTAATCTGATTAATGTTTTAATATTCAAATTACTAAAATAAAATACATAAATAAATTTTGATATACAGTTTATATTTTTATTATAAACGTGAACATGAA